AGGTCGTCTACATACACAGCGCTACTTTGACATCGATCTCAGCCTTTTGAGCTTTGCAACGCTTCGGTCACCTTCCGGCGACTTATACAGACGGCATTGCGCGGTCTGCTCCCGAAACACTGCATTATCTATCTGGACGACATCCTTGTTCTCGGTAGGGACATCCAACAACATAACTCCAACCTCCGATTAGTACGGGATCGCCTTCGGGAAGAAGGTTTGACGCTGAATCTACAGAAATGCAGTTTACCCCAAATGTCGGTCACGATTCTGGGACACACGGTTTCTGCAGATGGAATGATGGTCCCGGAAGATAGAACAAGATAAGCGAGGACTTGGTCACCACCTACAAATCAAACGGAACTTCGCAGCTTCCTTGGCTTTGCAAACTATTGTCGGCGTTTTGTAAAAGGTTTCGCCAAGATCGCAAGCCCCTATACAAGTTGTAGGAGCAGGCAAAAAAGCGTTTCGTTGGGAAAACGAACACACAGAAGCGTTTAAGGTGTTGACGCGTGCTCTCTGCGCGCCACCGATCTTGACTTTACCTAACTTTAATGCCGAGGCTCCTCCTTTCGTACTAGACTCGGACGCAAGTGATGAGGCGGTGGGTGGAGTCCTATTTTAAAAAGACAAGGACGGCAGAGAACATGTGATCGCGTATGCAAGCTCACGTCTAAGCAAAAAGATTAATCAAAAGAGTACAACAGAACAGGAACTTTTCGCTATTTATGCAGTGGTCAGACATTCTAAGCATTACTTGATAGGCAAACACTTTGTTGTGGGACAGACAATTCGGAATGCGGAGATTGCTACTCGGCCTCTGACAGTACACCATAACAAGGTTAGGTCATATATGGGTCACGAAGACGAAGTCTAATGGTCACCACCGGGTACGGTGGTTAAACTAGGGCAGGGGGGTGTGTAATATATACTAGTTTTTTTAAGTGGACTTTTATAGGAGAGAGGCGGGAACCAATTGGGAACGCGAATCACGTGCGCGAAGACGGTGAGGAGTCTATCTCCAGTTGATATCTCGTATTCTGCTCATCTGCATTCTAGTTCCCATTCTTCCTGTGTCTAATGGCAAATAAACCGTTGGCGACCAACCGTCTCTTGAAGTCCGTGGTTCAAGGGCAGGAGGGTAGGCGGGTTGTTCCTACAAGCATGAGTGCATCTTTTGCTGATGGAATAAAATGTAGGCTCACTTGTATAGGCTTTTGTACTAACAAATTGTTGGAGGTATGTGAATACAAAGTCTTGTTTATGTTTTCAATCGAAAATGTTTATTCGTATCCGTGATAG